TAGCTGACTGCAGAGCGCTTGCCGAGGACTCTGCACATGCTGTCACCGCCATAAAGCAGCCGGAAGTCACCAGCTCTTTGGCTGAAACAGGCTATGGTTGTCCGAGTGGTTGCGTCGGGCACTGTTTGGCCTGTGGGTACGCGTGTCGAAGGTTCGGCCTTCAGGCAGTCTACACGAAACGAGCTACGCATCTGCATCGTAAACCAGTGCGGAGTAGTGGTATATGTGCAGAGCAAAACGGTGGGGCTTCGCTCTCTTCGTCCTCCGTCTGGCCCGACTTGATTACTTCGAGGGTAAAAGTGGAATTGGTAGCGGCAGTTGAAAGCAGCTACAGTCCCAACCGCGTAGGGGGAAAGAAACAAGGTGTCGTCGGTTCTCGACTTTTATTTTTGTCTCTTCCTTTTCTTCTCATTCACTATCATTTGCTATTCGTTTTTCTCCGCCTGCTAATTATTGGGCACTCTTTTCCTCTTCTGTCCCCGTCTGCGCTCTCTGTAACCTTTCTACAGTTTCCACAGCGTTTCCTTCCCTGAACGGTTCCGTTTCTTGCTTTCGCGCTGCTCCGCCTGCAGCATTTTCCCCAAGTTCGCCTGCTTCCCGTGGGTTACCCCATTGCTTTTTACCCTAGCTTCGCCTATCCGTTGCCTGACAATAACACAATGAATTTCTGACCTCGTGAAGGTGCTAGAGAGCGGACGCCAAAATGGCGAAAATTGAATGTAACACGGGAGGGCAGAAGGAAATCAGCCAGAGTACCATAAGTCACGGGAAGGTGGGAGATAAAACTTTTACCTAAAATTTATAATGGTTACGCAATTCATCCTTTTCTGATCGCCAACGCTCTCTCGTCATGAGCAGGAGTAGCGATATCACCTTGTATGTATTACATTTTTTTTTTGTAACGAAATGGGGGAAGCTTTAATCGGAGACTGTGTGTAAGAGAGCTAGGAAGGATGTGATACTGTCCTTTACCCTTCGGTGAGCTTCGGAAAGAAAGGAACATGCTCTGTTTCATGACGTTCATGATCGAGGGCCTTGTCCTACGGGGATGGGTTCCTCACGTCTCCTGGTTCATGCAGAAAAAACATGTCCCAAGGCTCATGTGGTACCAATTCGTGTAGAGCACAGACTCTCTCATTCGCTTCTTCGTCCATTCGTACATTTCCGCCTGTGATGATAGATGACTTAATGAGAGCTATAGATTGGTTATGCTTTAATAGGGAACAGGGATGCTTGCGGGCTATTCAACGCCGAAGCAGATGAACTGAGAGGGACGTAGCGTCAGCCAATCTGTTTTCGATTCCCTTCAGCCTTTTCCTCCTTCGCCTTTGCCCAGTTCTGGGTGAAACACAACACATCGGGCTTATCCTTGCATAGACACTCAGCAGGCTTTTTCACTGTTCCATTATCACAAGCTAACTTCCGGCTAACACTTTGCGTAATCACCCGGAAGCCCATGTTACATTATTTCGGTTTTTGCTGCGGTATGCGGATCGCGCCTCCTCAATGAGGCATCGTGGAATGAGGTTGTGCTGTACACAATTTCGTTTTAGGAGAGCAATCGAAATCTCCGGTATTTCGGTACCATTTGCTTAACAATGATAAAATCAGAGCCTAGCATGTGTACGTAGACCAGTCAACTTTCGAATCGCATATTATGTTCGTCATATGCCAGAGTGGATATGCGAAATTGTTCCAGGCATATTTCATTCATTGCATATAAACCACTCTTGGTCAGCAGTAGCAGTAAAAGTCTAGTCACGTACCTACCGGTACTGCCACTCGGAAAACATACAGATATATATATATATACACACCCGCCTTGTACACCGCACTCAAACACTTGCACCAATTACAGTCTACCTAACTCTACGGCTTCTTGGTGTCTACCTGTGACAACGAAAAGGAATCCTGGTTTTAATGCTAACGGCTTGTCATAATTACTCGAACATCATTCGCCGGGATCTGGCTAGCCACCGTTGACTGTGGTTACTACTGCTATTTGTTACTCTCGCGAAGTTCCCTTTCCATTGCAATTTTTGATTACGTTGCGGAGTCGTATATTACTAACTTGAACGAACGAAATAATAATAAAGCGACTAACACTTATTTCTCCTTTCTATTACTAGTCTGTGGGAACCATTGCTTCGCTCATTTCCAAGACGCTTTGCTTATTTTTCCCTTCAGAGGTTTCTTTTTTGAAGCCCGAATGTAGTACACGTCAACTTACGCTCGACTACAAGGCAAATTACTATTGGATTGGGTTTTTATACTATCATCGGTCTATGCACCATCAATCGCGCTGTATGTATTTACAGTTGCCTAATAAGACAAGAATACGTCCATGAACGCTACCTAGTACACTCGAACCTTGCATTCCTTTGCGTACGAATATGAAGCTTGAGTGTATACGCATACAAAATGCTTATTATATGGGTGTATAACTTAAGAGTCCCTTGAAGAGTGGCTTGTGTTTAGCTCTTCACGTCTATCGCGTCGAGAGTCCCTACAGTGGTTGCAGGCTACTGAAAGGCTTTTATCTCTATCTGACTGGCATCCGTTTCTCCCGCTTCTCACTATTTGTCCTGTTATTTCTTTCTGTTCTGTACTCGTAGCCGTGTCCTTGCCCTTCGAAGTCTCGTCTCACTTTATCTTCTACTCACTTGCCCGACTGACGGGGCGCTAGTGGGCGTGCTGGCTGAAACTTCCGCTTCCGGGCGGCGGCGGAAGGCTCAAACCGGATCAGTACAGTAGCCGCTCCAACGACGCCGCAACCATGTCAACGTCACGACAAACGACGCGGTATGACAACCGGTTGTCCTTCTGTGACGATGATTCCTGCTGTCTGACTTCTAGAAGTACTGAGTAGTCTCTCCGATGGCGGCCTCCAACTATGTTGACGACTGTCTCCAGCCCTGCGACGGTACTTAGTGAATGTCGTTGGCACCCGCTTGTCGCTTGATGCTGCGCTTCAGATATGTGCATGAATGTGACCACATATGTTCGTGTACGTCCTACCGGCCAAGCCTAACCGGCAGGGGGTTAGCGTAATCGTACGGACGTAGCTATTGTAACCACGAGTTCTATCGTACCGAGCGGATGAGCTATATGTACGAGTTAATACGCGCTGAGTATATGGCAAGGTATTGCTAATGAGTGCCTCTGTAGGAGAACATTCTTGAGGCTTATACGTAGCAGTACTCTACATGGATAAAACGAGAGGGTGACACATAGTTAGTCCATCCACCGCATGCGTGGTTTTATTTTCGATTGCGTTCCGTACTACACTTATATTTAAGCGTCGCGTTGCTCAGTAAACGCACAATTTCTCAAGTCACTCGTACGGCATCACGATTTATCATATATATAATTTTTAAGTTATATTAAGACGAGCGGATAGTAGTGCCTATAAGGGGAGCGTTAAAGCGAGAGGGGTGATGGGGGAGAAAGGCTGGAAAAGGAGCCTCTAATGTTTCTCTCTGCTTAAGATCCATATGTATCTCATAGACGTGAACGGTCGTAGTGACTAGCCCGTTACATTTTGCTAGGAAAAGACGGCCGCGGAGTGCGCATCGTTGGGCCGGCCATCGGCCTAAATCTCGGCTCATTTGACGTGTCGTGGAGTTCAGGGCCTCACCACTAACAAGCTATCTAGCACAAAGTCATCGTAACTCGAGTCGCAGCTCTATATTACCTACCAGCAACATCGATCGACGAGGACGCATCATCTTTGTGTTCAAGCGAAATGTATGAAGCTCGCAACCCGACTTCCAGTCCAGTCATCATTTGTCAGGGACTGACCGACGAGGTCAATTGGTACGAATGCTCATGAGAGTGAGCGAGGACTAAATTACGCCTTCATTGGAGAGTCGCATAGTAAAAAGTGATAATGAATGTCTAAATTTGTGTTAATTAGTCAGATCACTAATTTTTATTTGAGTGCAAGAACCGTAGAAAAAACGCGTGGACGCCAGAACACGACGCTGTACAATGTATACATTCACAGATGTTATTGTATAATAGATATCTGTTGTTTTTGTCCAATATCTTGGAATTACTTGTATGCTGTTTGCTTCAACGATAATTAAAAGCAATTTAAAGTGAGTTTTTAGGTAAAAGGTAACACGATTTTCAAGCATTATTTCTCTTATTCGAATAAATGTTCACCGTCAGGCCGGCTTTAGGGTCTATTTCTAACCTTGCATCTGTAAGAGGGTCGACTACTAAGAAGATCGTGCATATCAGGAAATAGTCGGCACTCAAGAAAGCAAATGTGAAAACACACTTTTCGTTCTAATGCAGTAAGGGCTACTAATTATTAAAAAAAAAAAAAAACACAAATCGGGTTAACTTGCCTGCCGTCTTTTTCGCTATAAGGAGCTAACTTAACGAAGGCAACGCTGCTCTTCGAGAATTCTATTCATCTACGATGTCGAAAACTTTTGTAAGCTTGTTAGTACGACATAAAGCCGACTTAAAATCTGTTTTAGCGATAACTTTCGAGTAATATTTTGTAGAACAGGATCACGCAATCAGCTGTTCCAAAACAGTTTATGGAGACTGATACGATTGCTCCTAGAAGGACAGTCCTTTAAGAATCACTGTACATTCTACAAAACATGTACATTCTATCTACATAGTAATATACCTTGTTTATTTGAAGTTAGACAGATGGCAGTAAAAAGATGACTTAATTCCCTTTTTGCTTTAGCAATGTTACAGTGCGCCATGATGTATGATCATTGAAGCTTTAACCTATTTCTTAACTTTTAACCTAACATGAGATAAAGACATGAAATCTTTACACAGACTTGTATACGTCTTGATGCTCAACTTCATTAGTCTATAGTTAATCGAAATATGGTCGTTAACATGCTTAAATATAACGAAATTTATGGGAACACCCTTCTTTAAACTTGACTTCTTCAATCTGATTTTAAAGAATCATCCAATGATGTGCAGTCATCCCTAACCAAAGTGTCGAATCTTTTTCATTTCAGCGTGCGATTGCCATCCAGTGGGGGCCTTAGGCCGGACGTGCAATATGACGACAGGTCAGTGTCCTTGTAAAGACGGCGTTACTGGGCTTACCTGCAATCGATGTGCCAAGGGTTATCAGCAAAGCCGCTCACCAATCGCTCCATGTGTCAGTGAGTACAAAACAATTCGTAAATACCACAAATGCTTACAGTAGACTAGATACGGTCGCCTGTTAAACAGAAGGAAAGCCTCCAGTTTATTTAATCAGGATCCTTAGGCTTACATGTTAATAACCAGTCTTTCGGTGGCAGTTTTGGTTAGTTAAAAGCTAGCATATCTGTGTTTTTACGACGATGTCTACAACCAATCTCGAGCTAATCTAAGATATCATTCTGCTTAGGCTCATTATTATGCCTCGTTCGTGTTCTGAATATATGAGTAGTTAAACGTACTATTAGTTTACTAGGTTCTCCTGTCAGTAACTGGGATGTGGCGAAACGAAAGAACGAGAAGCTCTCTACATTAATGAAAAAATAATTTTTTTGGTGGACCTACAGCTTAGTTTCTCAGTAGCATATAGCTAACTGAGTGAAATTCTACTGGCAAATACTATTTTATTATATATTGAAAAAATTGCGTGAAAAGCTTAGACAATTCCTAAAGCTTCTAATTGAGGTTATTGGTCTTGTATCATAATCTTCATAAACATAGGATAAGGCCATAGGATCACAAAACCTTCGAGTGTCTTTACCCAGCTTAGAATGAAAATATATTGATTGAACTCAAGCAAAGTTATAGCACCAATATACCGCATCATTTATCATAAACGGCTGTAACCTTAAGAAACGAAGAGAATGATTCGCTCATTCAAAGGTTTAGCTCTAATCGCTACCTCACAGTACTGCTTAACTGCGGTCTATCCGGGTCGGAATCGTCGGCAAGCTAAAATATTTCGAATTTTATGCGCGGCACCGATCAGGCACTCCATCGGACGGCTCACCTCCGGCACGAAACGAAGCGTCTCCACGGCCGGATTCGAACCCAAACCACTACATGTTTCTCATATTCATCAAGCAAACACGTTACCCATTGCGTCATCACCGGCATTTCGGCGACAAGCTTTTTCTACCGGAGCTCACTTGAATCTTTCGCTTCCCATGTGGAACTTTTTTTCGACAAGCGGCAACGTCTCAATGCAAATCTTTGAGTCGAAACTCGTCCCTATGAACTTCAGCTCTCTCAACGATGTGAGGCTGGGTTTAATTGGTGGGTCTACTGGGCTGCGAAGAAGGTCTTAGACGTGGGCACTTCCGGGTTATTCTCCTCCTCTATGCGTTTTAGCTCCGGTAAGTAAGACGCGCACGGGGCTATCAGCCAGTTGGTCGTCTCTGTCTCACTTTGTCTGACCGAAGCTACGGAGCATATATCAAGTCCTTGCTACATTTGTTTGCGCAGTTAATAACACTCGTTCGAGTCGATACTTAGTGACGGATAGCGATCCGTGGCAACTACCGCGAGGCAATGTTTTTATATTAGCTGACTCGAATACCCAACAGCGCCACTCTGCTCTATTGACAGGCGTAACACAGCTGCCAGACTTCGCCGCTCTATGCCTCAAGTACTTTACGTTTGCCAGTATTTTGTTACCTCTTGGGCACCATGGCATTCATTTAATATTACATGGGTTTACTGATTCTTGCGCATAGCAAACTCAAGCAAAATATACGAGGACAACGAAGTCTTTGTAATTTATTAGAAAAAAGGAGCACACAATTCATCTAGGTGTCCTAACAGCGGAGACAACGGGCCTCTGCAATTCGAAATGAACAGAGTTGTGTTGTATTACCTCTCCCGTATACAGTGACTGGGTTATCCGGTTCTATAACGAAAAATCAAGGTATACAACTTTAAAAACCTATATAGAAACAGAACTTGGTACCGGAGTCCAGCTTTTGGACTGACTTTTTCAAGGTGTACCGGAACAATTGGCGCTAATTCTCCGCTATACACCACAGCTATACTTTTTTATAGGTTCCACAACTATGTGTAAGTATTATGAATTTATCTAACCCTATAAACTAGGTAAATGCCATGCTTTAAACTGCTTGTGAAGTACAACTTCAATAGAGCAAACACGGACTCCCCCAAAAAATGAAAAGCAATACTTTTATTTTCCTTTTTTATTTGCCAATCTATCATTTGACGTGGGCCCATGTACATTTTACTCTCCAAGATGTACATGTATGTATTTAGAAATTTCCCACACCCACTCCTGCATAGAGCACACGTATTTTATGTCCCGTTCTAGTGCGCTATTTCCTAAAAACCATAAATCGCCCATTCACTTCGTCTCGATCGAGCGCTCTTACCCACGTCGACGGCCGGACAGACATTCAGCCACCGACCCGTACGGCCATGTTGTCCCTCAAGACCAGTGCTTTGCCGCCGACGCTGTCGTCGTTGTTCGGAGAATTCCTCGAAGAGATTTGTCAAATTCCGCACTACAAGCTTGACTTTGCGCGAAAAAGTTTTTTTGGGTTCACTTGCCAGTTTCCTGCCGCTGATACGAACCATAGACCGCGTAGCGGCGACAGTAGGAGACGCCGTATCTCTCGATTGATTCATCAAGCAGGGGCCGCTATGCAGGGGCTGGGGTAGACTTTCTAGTAGTAGTGATACTAAAGCTGTACTGCAGAACCGTTTCGTAGCATGGGTATTCCCTTTGTTGATGTCTTTAGCCTGTGAGCATGGTGTCTGACGAAATGTAGTGGAAATACATTTGCTTCTCATTATGACATCACGCCGGTGGTCTCTGCTGGCAACCTAGTTGAATCGAAGGGTTAGCCAGTTACCTCCGCGCAGAGGTAGAGGAACTAGCAAAAGTGAGCTGAAGTAAACTCACCGGAATCGGCACCCCCATCAATAAGACATGCGTAGCAGAGAAGGTAGGTAAGATGTGGGAGAACAGAGACTAAACAAATGTGGCGATCCTTGCCGCCGTAATATGTACCGTAGAAGAAGGTGCCTGGGAATCTTAGTTCAGGCATGTTACGGCGTTTGTAGGAGACTGGCTGTGTTGTGGCTGAGTGAACCACAGTTGCTCCACGCCGTTGAAACTTGCCATCGTAGTATTTATGCTTCATTGCCACCCGTTTGGCTCTGTGTGTGTATTTTATCCGACCAACGCTACGTACTGGTGCTGTATTAGACTCGATGGGATAGTTAGAACAAATTTTCTTGGGAGTAATCCTCCCCGCCAAAAGCGTGCCCATGCCTCTTATCAACTGGAACTTCTAATCGATTATGCTTTAGGGAGCACACTGAAACGTGGAATTCCTGTTTGGGAGTGCGTGAGGGTTACGGCTGGGAACGAAACATGAAACAAGGTTAAGCAAAAACAGGTTGACGATTACTAACTAGTGGTATCTACGCAGGTATCTCACCCACAGTAAACTCCTGTGAACTAAAATAAACACATTCTATCTGTCTGGCGTATTTGCTACTGATAAGATTTCATGTTTGTTAGCGTAATCTTCACTGAGCACACGGATGATTTTTCTACAAATTATACTCAGGAAAATGACATCGAAGTAGAATTGAACGGAGAAAAACATCGTATAAGATAGGAGATGCAGGAACTTGTAATACCCTAATGCACACCTGGTCGAACGCTCCATACTTCTGGATATGACTGGCCGCATATTATATGAGGTGCGTATTTTTAGAGCCAGATGTACTTGGCTACCGATGGAAGCAGTGTACCGCTGTGCATTCAGCTTTGGCACGTGTAGCGGGCTCAGGAAAGAACAATTGCCGGCGCATTAAAATGTCCCTTTTAATGAGACCAATGCTTTGATCTTATTTTGAAAACCAACTAGTAAATGCTTTTAGAATAATAGCTAAAAACATTTTAGTACTTAAAAAAAACAAGTCTTTATTCGAAGGACCTCCCATCTCAATGGTCATAGACGTTAAAGCAAGCTGAGTTTGTCGGACGAACTTCAAGATGGCTTTCAGTCTGAAGTCGCGGAGTAAACAACAAACCAACGGCTCGAAAAGAAAAACAAATATAGTAGAAAATGGCGAAAAGCAGGACAAATTACTAATAAATTAAATATCTATATACATTAGGTACGAACAGTATCATATCCATTGCTACGAGCGCAGATTATATTGAAAATCTCTATAGATTATGAATTTGAACAAATTGCAAGTTCCTCGGCTTCTTGACTAATCGGCTGAGAATCGACAAGGCGCCGGTTTTCAACTAGAAAATCGCGTTTCAGATTTCTTTGCTTTCAATTTTGATGTTCGACCTGTCCATCAGATCACGGCAGTACAGTCTGAAGCCAGTAGCAGCCTAACAGTTTCGACCGAGATGTGAGCGTAAGGCTTGAGGGATTACAAGGTTGCCTTGCAGACGCCCATAGCCCACAGTTACGTTCGAACGTTGACGTTGCAAGCAAACGGAAGTTACCACAATGCAAATTCTAACTTGCGTAAGTGCCTATTATTCACGAAAGATGGACAGGTATCTACTCTTTCATAGCCGTAGTACAAACTTGCGAAGCTCGATAGTTCGCTTATTTTACTTTGCTAGGGAAACGTGTATAAAATTATTTTTATGATGCATCCAACAACCCACGAAATAAATCAGTCTTTTTAGCACCATTAGAAATTGATAATTTATAACAAAAGCTAAGATTTTTTTCGAGAACGAGTTCAGCTTCATGTTCTGTGTATGGTGCATGCTCTAAGCCAAAACGCGAAATGCTTCCACGTGTACAACTTACCACTTATAAGCACAGTAATAAAGGACCATATACTTTATGGTCCTTTATTATTATGCTTATTACAACGATAATAGCGGTAACGGAAGTAAAAGATATGATAGTGCGGCAATCCAGTGTTCTCCTGAGCCTTCACAGCCAGATTGTGCAGTAGCACGAGCATGTGACGCAAGAGACTCAACCATAAGTGGTGCGCTTCTGCGGGTAAGAGTGAGCGATTTCTGCCACAAATCCGCAGTCATCTATCCTTAATAAAGTCATTTTTCACGGTAACGCCGACATGGCTCCATGGTTCCCCATCGACGTCCGACTCTGCCTCCTCTTGGTCATCGTTCGGGCTTTCTCATACACGAGGTAGAGGATGATTGGCAGCGATGCAA